GCTTTGCCCTGTTATTGCATGCTTTGGGGACATTTGACAGTGGGGAAGTTGCTTCTGTTTTTTTTCTTACTTGTTCTGCTCACTCTCTGACCCTCTGAGTCACTTCCTCTCCTTAGATATTGCCTCTATTTATATATATTAAAAAAAGACAAACCCAAACCAAACCACCCTTCCTTTTCACTCCCACTCTGCTTACTACTTGTACCAACATAATGCCTTGCAGCTGGGCATGGGAGATCTTGCTGTCAGCCTGCTGTGATGTTACTCTGGCTGGGTGGTGGGGTGTGCTCTGCCCCATAGGTGGCCATGTGGCTGGGTGCTGGAAAGCTTGCAGGCTTCCTCTGATCTGGTCCAAACCCTGATGTTAGATGTGCTCATATGTATTACAGCTACTTTTCTTTTTTTTTTTTTTTTTTAATAAAAATCTTTGTTCTTTGTGAGGATTAAGTAATGCCTTCAAAGAATTTCTATACTGTTAGTAATAGTGTTGGGGGTAAGCTTTTTAGCTGTTCATAGGAGCTGAATTTTGGGGAAGGAGATTCAGCACAAGGCTTTCATCACTGTACCCTCTGCCCTGGGTATTATTGGAGTGGATGTGTCCAGGGAAAAAGTGCTGTGGTCCCTGGAAGGGAAGCATGGTGGACATGGGGTGGGATACTTAGCCACCACTCCCCTGGCATCCTGGCTCCCATCCTCCCAGGTCCAGCCCCAAAAAGGCAACAGTGGCTGCTGCTGCTGGTGCTTTGGTGGCCATGAGGGCTGTCCCGCTGGGCTAGGTGGGATGGGCACCTTGGCCCCCACCACTCAGGAACCGCTCTGCGGGCAGAGCAGCCCAGGGCCGTGTTGTGAGCTCTTCTGCTGCTGTCTTACAGGGGTCGGCACTAACGCACTTCTACCTCCTGGAAGAGGCGAGCGCCGCAGAGCCAGCACCGTCCCGGGGAGCCCACAGCACTGCTGGAGCTTGCTGGAGCAGAAGGACAGGCCCTGCTTTGGGGCTGGCTGGGCAGTGGCATCACCGCAGGGAGCTCTGTAGCCATCTCCGGGACAGAGAGGGCTCGGCAGAGCCGCTTGCTGACCGGGTGGCTGTGTGGAGGCGGGAGGGACTGGCTAGCCCGTGGCAGAGCAGCTCTCCGTTCACTGTGGGGCATGTTGAGGATCAAACTGTGAAAGATGAGGAGACCAGGCTCGGGGCTTTCTTAGGCACAGGAGGGGTGGGAGGGTAACAGCTATTTAACAAGATATTTTTCATTTTAAATTATATATTTATTTTAGATAAACTGTACATAGTATTTATATTTATTGTAGGTCTGTCCCTGCATCCTTCATGTAGGTCAAGATGACAGGATCAGACCTCCCTCATTTTTTAAGTGCAATGTAATATTCTAATAAATAACACTTTGTTACAAACACTTGGGTTGTTAATTTAATGACAGAGGTGGAAAGGAGTCAGACCTCTGAAGACTGCATGTGGCAACATGCCCTTGCTAGTGGGGTATTTCAAAGAGTGGCAGAGATCTTGAGTGTGCAGGAGGAGTTGCTGGATTGGCTTGTGCCATCCTTGGGGTGCAGCAGAGCAGTGTGGTGCAAGGGGCTGGTGGTAGGATCCATCCAGCAGGAGCCTGCAGCCAGGACAGCCCCATTTGTGCATCTTTGGAGATCTGCATCTTTGCCAGCTGGTGCCCTGGGGGGGATGTGATGTTTGGGTGTCTGCTCATCACGCAAAGCTGTCTCGGGTATGACTGAAGCCACTCTGGCCACTGATCAATCCAAGTGGGACTGATTCCTGGTTTTAAGTCAGCATTTGGCTAAAAAATAAAGAGGTTGACTCACACCTCCCTTGCAGGGGATCCCAGCAGTTCCTGGCGTGGCTGCAGGCTCCTGGTCATTCCAGCAAGCATAATTTCAGACAATGGTTCAGGACCAATTCCTGACTTTGCAGTAAGAATAACCCAAATCACTTCTTTCCTCTCCCCCAGGGGGAGCTGAGATCAGGGTGAGATGCTGGCTTTAGTAGAGAGCCTAGAAGCAGAGAGAAAAGGCTTCCCCCCTGCAGGAAACCTGCTTTCCTCCAGCCCCTTTCCCTTCAGCTGATGTCAAACTTCAGTTTTCAAAAGAGTTTGCTAAGGTAATTCTTTCCACTCGTGCTTCTACAAAGTGCACTAGTGCTAGACAGTGAGTACCCTGCAGAGCTTTTTGGCCTAATTTAGTGAAAATCTAGCTCTGGTAAAGTATGGAATAAGCTTTATGCTCACTGGGGAAGGAGTTGCTTAGGAAGTGAGTGTGTAGGTTCATCCCCCTTATGCAGCTGCTTAAGTTCTGCTGTGGCAAAGCCTGGGCCGTGGGAAGGGGGAACACAGCAATATTTGGGTTTTCCAGTGCTTTCCAAGATGGAAGGGCTAAAGTGCACAGCTATGGCAGATGGGAGGCTGGTGGGTGACAACAGGCACCCTCAGGTGTTATTGTCTGGAGAGTAAAAGCCCCAGCAGCTGCAGTGGCCTGAGTCCCAGAGGCAGGGAAACAAGTTACTGTCTCTGCTTCTTGCAAACCTGAACCTTAACACTGTGGGAGTGCCATTTTAATCAGAGACTCCAAACTCTGGCCTTTTCCAATGTCTATTAAGTATATCATGTCTTCAGCTGCTCTGCACGAGGACTTGGTGCTCCGGGTCACCTGGCTGCACCCCTGCCTTTCTGTGCTGCTGCTGCTCACCTTTGCGGAGCTGCTCCCCGCTCCAGCCCTGCTGCCTTTCATGGTGGGCAGCTCTGCATGACTGGGGCTCCATGCCACCCTGGTGGGCACTGGGAATAGCTCCTCTGGAAGCCTTTTCCACAGACAGCTGGACCTTATGCCTGCAGCCTAGCTGCCCTCTGCCCTCCTCCTTCCCTGCAAGGATGTGTTCTGGTCCACTTCGTTCCTCTGCAGGCCAGAAGTGCAGGGTGGGCTGTCCACAGGTGGTAAAATAACAGGTCAAGAGATGGGAAACACAGTTTGCAGGTGTAGGGAGTGGGAATCTGGCTGGATCCAAGGACTTGGCTCCTTCTGCCCCACTGGACTGGGAAAGGCTGACAGTCCTATGGGTGCTCTCTTTCCAGCTAAGGCAGGGATGAAGCCTCTGGGGCAGCTCCCCAGTCCGGCTGTGCTTGTGGCCATGAAACGGGAGGTGCCCCAGAATCCTGGTTGGGGCATGTGGGGCTGTGCCCTGCCCAGGATGCCCACAGACTGCGAGGGGAGACCAGGCTGCTTGCCTAACCACGCCTACAGGAATGAGGTGCCAAGAAAGCAATATCCACCACCCGGCTGTTCCCCCGGCCAGGAGCGGGCTGCTGCAGCAGCTGGCCAAGCTGAGCACTGGCGGGTGTCCTGGTGAAGGCAGGCGCTGGCCTCCAGCAGCCCCAGCTCAGCAGCTCAGCCTTTCACCCCTCTCTGGGCATAGACTCAAGAGCACGAACACGTCACCAGCTGCAGCGTTTCCTGACTGCCATGGTGTCAAGCCTCTGACACTTGACTCCATACTGTGATGCATCTCAGATACCTTTGATGCCTGTGCCTGGGTTGTCTATGGGTGGCAAACGTGTACCCAGCCACTAAATGCCACCACTCGGTGTGTTCCCTGGCCCCTCGCCTGGGCTCACTCAGTCCTGGTGTGGACAGAGACTGTGCCTAGAGTAGAGCCCTGCAGCTTCTCCAGAGCAAGGGTCAGAGCTAGGAGACCTTCAAAACCCCAGATGTGGATTGAATAAAAAATTGCAAAATATTGCATTAGTCAATTTAATAACCAATTCTCCACTGCCTGCCCCAGCACCATGTTAGCTGTGCTTCAGCACCTTTGGCCATCACAGTATGAAGGATGGAGGGGGGCAGCAGTGCACTGGAGCAGACACCCCAAAAGTGGCTGAACCACCTTCACTGCCTCCCTTTGGAAGCGGGCGGTGGCAGCCCTGCGTGTGGCTCCATTTGGCTGATTTTCCTTCAGACTGGGGTGGCTGGCTTTGCCGAACTCCCCACCCAGCCACTAAGCCTTGAGCCTGTCAGTGAGGCATCTCCCGTGGGTTTATTGCCACTGCAGAGAGGTGCACTCCAGGTGCCGGCAGACTTGGGGGCACATCAGACCTCACACGGGGATGCGGCTGCCCTCACTGTCAGGGGTGCAGGCAGTGGGGACTGTCCCCCAGCTCCAGCTCCGCACTCAGTGAGTAGCCATGCCAAGAGGCTGGCGGGTGGGCTGTTGGAAAGAGCTGGGGAAGGCACTGAAAACGGCAGCCGTGCTCTGGGTGGCAACAAGAACTGAGAGTGTCAGATCCTGCACTCTGCTTTTTAACGGGAACGTTTGCGGCAGGATCCCTCTGACTGCCTCTGGCAGCAGGGAGGCAGGCTGGCCACTTCAGTTTTTGCTACCTTCGCCCAAAAGGCATCCGATGGCCTTATCATGATCCCACAGCTTACCCGAGCTTGTCTGGGCCAGTTCCAAGGAAAGCTCTGGGGCTGGAGGGAGTGAAGGCAATTATTCTGTGGGCAGAGGCAGGCTGCAGGGTGCTGGAGGCAGCAGGCAGCCAAAAGCTGTCACTGCAGAGGACACAGCGATGCCCCCCACCCCCCCACCTGGGTCGGTACTTCTGCCTGGCAAGCACACTGCGATTTCAGCCTCCCCTCGCCCTGTCACTGGATCTGAGATGTTTGACACCCCCAGCCCCAGTATCTCTGAGGACGAGGCCGCGTTTGGCTGCTGAGTGGTAGTAATGAAGCGCCGATCTGGCTCGGTTTTTAGCACCCGTTACCGTTTTTTGGTCTGCCCCCGGCGCTCCCTCTCTGGGGGCTCTGGGACCCTCTCCGGGGGCCCCTGGGCGCCCTCGTGGCGTGGGGGTGGCTAGCAGGGATGGCTGCTGGGCTCCCAAGACCTGGCAGAGGTCCCAGCACCCCTGAGTGGACGCCCCCACACCCGTGTCTGCCCCCTCCGCCCCGGTTAGTGTGTCCCCCCCCCCCCGCCCAGGGGGCCCCGCGCTCCGCCCCAGCCGGGCGCGCATGCGCAGCAGGACGCTGTGCCGGGGCTCCCCCAGCGCGCAGGCGCTGCGCGGAGACAAGATGGCGGCGCCCGTGGACCTGGAGCTGAAGAAGGTATGGGGTGTTGTGTGATGGGTGTCGTGGCGTGGGGGGCGTCGTGGCGTGGGGGGCGTCTGTCCGGTCCCCTGCTCTCTGGCAGCGGGTTCGGCCCCCGTAGGGCAGCCTTAGCCTCACCGCCGCCGCCGCTGTCCTTCCCCCAGGCCTTCACTGAGCTGCAGGCCAAGGTGATAGACACGCAGCAGAAGGTGAAGCTGGCCGACATCCAGATCGAGCAGCTGAGCAAGACGAAGAAGCACGCCCACCTCACCGACACGGAGGTCATGATGCTGGTGGATGAGACCCGCATGTACGAAGGTGTGGGGAGGATGTGAGTACCTGCCCGGATGGTGGGGGCTTCCTTGCTGTGCCGAGAGCCGCAGGCGGGCTCCCTGCCTGTGCCTGCCGGGCTTCTGCGGGGGGGCTGGGCCAGTGCACAGCGAGACCCCCCAGCCTGCGTGTTTAAGAGGCCTCTAGGCAGTTGCACTGGGCAGGATGTTCATCCTTTTACAAAGAACAAACTTGTTTTCACTCATCATGTTATTTTGTTTCACTGCTCTCATTGTGTTTCATTTTTAATTCTAGCAATCTGCCCTAGAATGTAGTGAGACTTACTGAGTCTTTATCTCTTGGGGTTAGATACTCGATGTCTTGAAGAAGGACTTTGTGTGGTTTTGCTTGCTGGCTCTGCTCCTGGCCCTGATGGTCTCATCTGCCACCTCTGGGAAGTTTGTAATCTAGACTAGCAGAGCCGCATTCTAATGACAAACAGCATTGGTGAGAAGGTTCTCACTAAGCTGTCTAGTTTCAGTCGTTTCTAATGTAGCTTACATCAGACTCCTTGAAAAACCGCTGTGCGCAGTTCATGTGCTCAGCGCTTTGCTTGCACAGATTTTCTACAGAAATGCCCTTTGCAATATCATGCCAGGGAGTGGATCTAGCTGGTGTTGCCTGGGTTTTTTAAACTCTTGGAAGTGAATATAAAGCTCATATGGGCAGTCCCAGAGCATTCATAAAGATGTGCTTCCGTGTGTTGGATGGCTGTCAAAAGAAACACCTTAAACCAGAAGTAATGTGTTGTGATTAACTTCCACAATGTGCTGCTGTTTGACTTCGGTAGCCTCTGATAGAAGACCATACAAAGTGGTTTCAAATCGTGCTTACTTGGTAAATATCACACTAGATTTATCTGTTTCTGATTTGAGAGTGCTATGATTTCTCTCTTGTGTCTCTTGTGAGTTGGGTAACAGCGGTGACTCTGCTCACATCGGGATGTGGTTTTGCAGAACACTGAATCTGCTCTGACTACTGCCAAAAGGGGTGACTGTATTGACCTCTTCCCCACCTTGTATTTACCCCATCTTCTTTATGTCAAAGTGGATGATCACAGTGCCAAGCAGTGAGCCAGGTCAGACTACAAGTGCCCTGATCCATCAGACCATGCAAACTCCAGATTGAGTTGTAGGGAGGTGGCAGGACTGGGAAGCCAGGAATGGTGTGTAGTTTTCCCTTTGCTGTGAGTTTTCAGATGAAGTTGTACCCAGGCTAATGGAGGTGTTCAGTGTGACGGAGTCCCCTTTTTGGCTCCCAGTAAATAAACTTTTCCATGTAGGTGAAATAAATGTTGGGTTTGTATGGGGATGCTAGTGACTGGTACCTTAATAAGAGATAGGTTTTGGACCCTCGAAGGAGGCAACTGATTTGACTGAGGCAGGCTGTAGGCATAGCAAACACTCCTGTTTGGAGTACTCATGAGACGACTCATAAGGGTTTTTTCTCTTTGGTTTTATCACAGAGCAGACAGGTGAAGAGTAGAAGATAATTCTGGAGTCAAGAATTTTTTTTAAAGCTTTTTTAAATCCAGAAGTACAGAATATTTCTCCTATATGGAGAATTCCTTCAAGATACCTTAAAAATGTGACTATACTGGTCTTTATCATAAAGTAATCCTACTTCTGAATCAGATGTGGGTTGCAGATAGTGTTTCAGCGCTGGCTGAAATGCATTGTCCTGCTTTCTGCTTCTGCCTCCCACTTTAGGAGTAAGAGACACTTACCTGCTTTGCGTCCTAAACAGTTTACACTTTGTCTGTGTGGAGCAGCTGCGGTAGTGACCGTCTTCCGGAGAATCTTCTTTCACTTACCTTTCCATGACCAGACAGGGTGGCTTAGACATGGCAGGCAGTGCTCGCTCCTCAGGGATGGCAGAGGCGCCATCAGAGAAGTATTTGCATTATGACATTATTCAAAAGCTGAACTTTTCATGGGTTTTGTACTAGTTGCTATGCAAATACAGATTAAGAAAGTGCTCTTCTGAATACTACTCATTCACTCTTTCGGGTTTTTTTGGTTCTCCTGCCTTGGCTTGATGTGGTATTTCAGTGAGCTCTGCCTGTTCTCACTGTGGGGCTGAAGGCTGCCTTGCCAATTGGCAGTAATGCTCTGGTATGACATGTGTCACTCCCTAGGGTGGAGAACACACATCAAGGACATGAGGCTCTTCCTGTGGCCCACTTCAGCCCCTAGTAGAGAATTTATTGCTGAAATCTGGGCTTTTAGCAAAGCAGGATAAAGCAGTCCTGGAGCAGGAGTTGAAATCCAAGGGCATACTGGCATCTTGTGTTCCACTGGAGACCAAAGGAGGTGGTCATGATGGTTTTTCTGGACATATAGGCCATGTTCTATGAAGTGGAATTGCAGATTTTTTTAATTTATTGGCTTTATTGACTTACACAGATGTGGGAGTTCAGCCACCAAAGGGCTATTCATGATGTCGATTTCTTTTACATAGCTTAGCATGTAAATGTTAGAGCTCTGGTGGGTTTCAGTTATACAGGAAGGGTGGAGGTCTGCATCAGTGTTAACTCTGATTATCAGTGCTCTTCTGACAGCTTGTTTGAATAGCTAAATTCTGTGAGATAAGTTTTGTGCTTCATGTGCTCAACTTGTGGGGTGGGTTGGTTTGTTTGTTTGTTTGGTTTTTGTGTGTTTTTTTCCTTTCCCATTTTTCTTCATTAACCCATTTATGCTGCAACTTAGCATCTGGTTTCTGATAGAATTTCTATGTTGTGGGTTGCGGTTTTTTGTGTGGTTTTTTTTTTTTTTTTTTTTTTTTCCCCCCTAGCTTTGGTGGTTTGTGATATGTGCAGGAGGCTATTATGTACACTTCTGTAGGATAAGATACTCCAGGCTTTTATGGAATTTGAAGGCCTGAGGAACTGTGGTTGTGTGCTGCATCCTGAGAGGAAGCCTGACTAGTTTGGTACTCCGTTCTGTACTACTTGAAAAACAGTTGTGTGGTTTTTGTTTTCTGAACCCCTATTTTGAGCCTCCTTTGTTTCTGAGAGGCTTTCCCTGCTCTACTGGCAAATGTGAAAGTCCGTTTGTCGTTCCTCAACTTGCTCTCTTTTTTTTTTTTTTTTTTAATCTTGTAGTGTGAGGCCTTACTGGCCACATGTAGGGCTCAATTTACTTTTGCTATAGCTATTTTTGGTTTGACACAAGAAATGTCAGTGCCCACATAGTATGAGATGATGAATTGCTGTGTACTGTACATATCCGTGAGGCTGGGATATCATCTGAGTGGTGGCATCTTGCCAAATACATTTCAATTCTGTTACTTCATATTCTTTTGAAAGGCCTGTTACGTAGCCTGAGACAACTACCACTATGCTGGACTTCTGCTTAAGCTATTTGTGAACTGATATCATCATATTGCTTTGAGAACTATGCTGAAAGTTTAAGCTTCAGAATTCTGTCTGAATATTTCAGACCTTTCCCTGTACATTCTTTTAACCCATAACCTGAATAAGATCCTTATTTACAGACAAAAAATGTCCAGCACTTATGCTAGGCACAGTGATGAGAGCACTGCAGTTTTTCATGCCATGCCAAAATAGATAGCCAGTTTTGGTTTGATACTGCATTATTATCAGTTTACTTCTGCAACAAATGGGAGAACGCTTGCAGAAATAAAGTATATGACAGCAAAAATCAAGCAAATACTGTAGCACAACTTGAACATAAAGCTTCTCTGCAAGTATAGTATATTATTATAGCTGTCCCTATAAAATTACTTTGTGGGAGCATAGTATTTTGAGGACAGCTGTAATAGTATGATTTTGACCTCTTTTTTTTAAGAGTGCTTCACATTTTTAGTGGCTGAACCATACACAAGTGAAACCTGAGAGAGGACTAAATGTTCTTGATTATTCCTGGGATATAAATGCATTCCTGCTTTTACTGTGATTTTTGGTTTTGTTTGAAAAAGAGACATTCTAAATTATTGTAAGCTCTTTCCCAAACCCCTGAAGACAGCAATCATCACTTGATACAGCTGCAGTAGCTGCTTTTTTACTTCTTGTGTGTGTATGAGATTGGTGTTCAATTCTACCAGCGTAGATCGCTGCAGAATATGGTAGCTGTACTGTGCTTCCCACTCACATTTCAAAAAACTCACAAAACGCAGAAGGATGTGCAAAGCTTAATCTTTATGGTTCAGTTACTAATTATAGGCTGGTCTGTGAAATCCGAGTGGCTTCTCTATTGCTCATCTCCTCGGGTAATGCTTTGTGCAGAGTTCAGCGCTGAAGCCCAGCTGCTAAGAAGCTGACAGGTGCTGCAATACTTAAATGAATCCCAGGGACAAGCATGTTGATATCAGTGTCTGGTCAACATGTAGTTTATAAACTTAAAGCTCATCTATCTAGCTGTTGAGAAAGGGAAGATTTTATTTTCCACAATGTCTGGTGTATCTACTAAGTACAATCAGGCACTGAACAAAAGAAAACAAAATTTGTGTCCAGCTGCTTGCTACTTGGCCACTGTTTATGCTGTATATTGAACAAGACAGGGGTGTTGGGAGATGGTGGGTGAGGAATCAAAGGCTATGTGGCGTGACACATGCATAAGCCATACGGTTTTTCATCACACAGTTGGCTATTATTTCAGGTTTTTCTCGATTTTTAACTACTCACTTTTGTTACTTCACCTGAACAATGTTCTTCACTGTGTTATGTGTGAGTGAGCCTATAAAAGTTTGCAAGATCTTTTTAGAGAGCTATAACAGAAAGCAAAAATCAAAATGATGCACGCAGAGGTAATGCAATAGTAATCTGTACAGGGGCATTTGACTTGAGCAGTGAGGTAGGGGACAGCAGTTGGTTGTCATCTTCTTCCTGGCTGATCAGGAATGAGAGAAGCACAGCTGGTCAGTGGGCTTCTTGGTTAACTGCTGACAGTGGTGGGATACGGGGAAGCTGGACTCCTGGATTCTGTTCCAGATCAGAAAGGGAGCTTGTTCTTTTGGGCACAGGCTCCTTTTCCAACTTGA